ATTGCATATTCTTGCACTTAACTCTTTGTATATCTATCTTACAAGAATATATTTGTTAATTAGTTTTAATTGGCATAAAATCGGATTAGATTAGCATAAGACCCTAATCACGTCCCCCCTCTAGGGTCTACATCATCAATGGTGCTCATGGAACCATTGATTGAGCACCATCGATGGTCATGAGGAATCAATGGTGACGATAGTATTTGGTGGATTTAAAGAGTTAATCACAACCATTCATTGATCCCTTTCATCTCCAACTTTCACCATAATTTGAATATCTCTTTCTGGTTTTTGAGAGGCTATATAAGATTGAAAGAGATAATATTTGGAGAGAGTTCTAGGTTTTGAAAAGAGAGAACTTGAATAGAGAAAATTCTAGGGTTTGTAAGAAAAAAATTTGATTTTGTGATCTCATTGCACTCAGCAACATCAAATTGTCTTAGTGAGAGGAGTTGCCTTTGGAACCAACATCTAATTTGTCCTTAATGATCTTTGCTTTAAGCTTTTGAAGAACGGTTTGCTAATCAAAAGAGCCGTGTGATCTTTCTGATTTTGTGCTTAAACTATTTTTTGATAGCTTGTTTCAAACTTCTTTTTACGACGTCCCTCAGCCAGTGATAATTGAGGGGTTAGTACTAGCCAGTGCTTGGTGTCACTCCCTATGGAGAGTTAACACTGATTTCAGATAGATACTAGGATACATTCTTTGTAAGCCTACTGAATCAGATTATAATTTAGGAGGACTCTTGGCATAATGAGAAAGTCCCTTCGTGAGAAGGAGAGTGCATGTAGGATTATTATCTGAATTACAATAAAAATCTCACATGTTACATAGTCGGTAACCCTAAAGGCCGAAATGGAAAATTCATGATCCAAGAAGAATAAAGAATTGTGCTCGAACCATTATGGTGATGACTATAGTGAGATTGGATTAGTAGTTGAAGGATTCAAATCATTCTTAAAGACAAAAGATGGGCAAAAGTTCATACATAACAAGCGAAATTAGAATTTCATTAAGGTAACGGAAGCTAAATATAAAAATTCATATCTTTGAATTATTTGTCATTATTACAGGAAACTTGAACACTACATAAATGAATGCCCTCTCAATAAGACTGACTGAAAATGGAAGAATAAGAGCTACAAGGTAATGTCGTGAGATTGCTCAAGTGAAGATGAAGAATCAGAAAGCGATTTGAGCTCTAATAATAAGAGTCACTGTCTCATGGCCAATACCCATAGCTTCAAAGATTTCGAGGGTAATAATTAAAACAAGGAAATTCATTAGAGAGTTAAGAAGCATGGAAGCACATGGTATTTAAATGCAGGATATTCTCGATACATGATAGGTAAGAAAGATTTATTTTTTAGTTTGGACAAGAAAAAATGGTGGAGATGTGACTTTTGAGAATAATGGTAAGCATAGGATTATAGGAGTTGGTGATATAGATAATAATTCTTTTAAACTTCTTAAAGTTTTACTTATTGATGGTTTAAAAGACAATCTTAATTCCATTAGTCAATTATGTGATAAAGGTATGTCTATTGTTTTCAAATCTACTATATGCAAATTTATCAATTCCAAAACATGTTTGATTGTCTTTACTGAAAATAGGCATGCTAATGTACACGTATTAAGCTTCAATGATATTAAATCTGACACAATAATATTTTGAGAGGATTGTAGACTTTGGCACATATGACTTGGACATGCGATCATGGATTTATTGCAGAAACTCTCAAAAAAAGAATTAGATAGAGGTTTGCCTATCACTACTTTTAAAAGTGAGAGTTTATGTGAGGCTTGCACAAATGGTAAATTTATAAGATCATCTCATAGTTTGCATAATTTTGTGCGCACTTTTAAACTTTACCATTACTTCACTTAGATCTTTCTAGACTAGTGTCCACATAGAACTTAGGAGGAAAGAGTTATTTTTACTTGTAGTTGATGGTTACTCTAAATTTACATGGATTATGTTTCTAGCTAAAAAGAGTAAATTTTTAATTTTTTTTAAAAAAGTCAAGTAAGAGTTGAAAAAGAAAGAGGCCTTCTTATTTGTAACATTCATTCTGATCATGGAGGTGAATTTTAAAATAAAATTTTTAAAGATTTTTTTGTTAACAAAAGGTTTCACTCATGCATATCCTTCTTCTTGAATACCACAATAAAATAGGGTTGTGAAGGGCAAGAATCAAACCTTCTTCTCGAATACCACAATAAAATAGGGTTGTGAAGGGCAAGAATCAGACTTTATAAGAAATGGATAGATTGATGTTATGTGAGTATAAATCATCAAAGCACTTTTGAGCAAAGGTAGTGAATAGAACATGCTATGTAAATAATAGAGCTTATCTTTGACCTATACTAAACAAGACTTCTTATGGACTTTACTATTAAATATCCCTAAAAGTTTCACATCTTCGTATTTTGGATTTAAATGTATTCTTTTGAATATGAAAGACTAATTAAGAATATTTTATTCTAAAGTATATTTTCGGGATATTCTTCTTATAGTAAAACTTATAGAGTATACAATAAAAGAACTATAATTCTTGAGAATCTATCCATATAAAATTTAATGAAACTCACAAATATACTAGTTTCATTGATAATGCAGATGACCCTCTATGGTGAATCTAAATACCATGTTGAACAAGAAAAGACTTTAGTGGAAAGTAAGAATAAAGCTCAGGGGAAAACAAAGGACAAGAACAAGGAAGCAACAGGCAATACTGAAAGCACAATTTATAAAGCTTCAAAGGATCATTAAGATCCAACCCTTTCAGAAAATCAATAAATTATTTCAACAAGAGATCATTTGATAAGAAATCATCAACCATGTACATGTTTGAATGATTACTATTGTTCAATGTCAACCATGAAGGTAGATAAAGGTAAAAATTCACATTTCTTTCATCATGAATTTTGCACATATGTAAATTTTTATCTGAAAAATGTGAATTAAGCTATAAATGATGTAAAATGATAATTTCCATGCAAGAAGAGATTAATCAAATTGCAAAATAATAAAGTTTGGAGTTTAGTTCCTAAACCAAAGATCATCCTGTCGTAGGAACTAAATAGTTCTTAAAAATAAATTGGATAAAAAGGGGTAATGTCATGAGAAATAAGGTTAGACTTATTGCTAAGAGTTACACTTAAATAGAAGGGATCGATTTCTGTAAAATTTTTACTTAGACTACTAGACTTTAATCCATTAGAATTTTAATTATTTTCTCTTATTATAAAGGATTTAAGCTTTATCAAGTAGATATAAAAAGTATTTTTCTAAATATGTACCTAAAAAGAAAAAGTCTATGTAAAATAAACTCGGATTTTATTGATTATGCTTTTTCAAACCGTGTATATAAGTTAGAGAAAGTTGTGTATAGTCTCAAACAAGTAGGGGTGTCCATTCGGGCCCAGGGCCCAAGGCCTGGCCCGGGTCCGAGTTCGGGCCGCATCGTTAGCGCCCGCACCGAGCGCGGCCCGGCCCTACTGTAAAAACTGTCGGGCTAGGGTAGCCGGCCCGGA